ATATCTAACCTTCTGAACTTTGATAGGAGCACTAATCCCTGCAAATCCAATCTTGACACCAGATGAAAATTCCTGTGACATTATTTGTTGTCTTCTTAATATTTCTTTTTCTTTCTTCACCTGTTCTTCCTTCTGTTGTTCAATCTTCAAGCGTTCTGCATGAGACTGCACAATAAGGGATGCATCACCATCTGATGCCATAAGGTCCTGTTTATAATATAGAGAGTATGTTAGTTATTAATAGCATGTATAATCATGAGCAATTTGCAGGGTATTTATGTAAAAATAAAAAAGGATTTTGGATGTTGAAATAAGTAAGCAAGACAGCATTTAACATAATTAATTATTAATAAATAATTGCAATTAACAGAGGGTTAGCTGCAAAACAAAAGATTTCTAACATCATTTTAATACATTAAACATTATAAAAGAATGTTTTTTAATAGTCATATAAGGAGAAAATAAAGAGAATGGGCAATTTAAGGGAAATCCAGTTCTAAAAGGCTGCAAATATTAACCCATCGCCGACGGTTAAAAATTTTGGCAAGCTGACGTACGCACGGGCTTGTTGGCACGCACCGGCAGTTTCCCCTGTTTGCGCCCCACTTGATCGGTAGTTTGCAAGCGACATATAGCACCTAAAAGCTTTTATTTTGCTAAAATTTATAAAAATAGTAAAATTTTGAAGGTTTACCTTCATTATAGGTGCCAATGCCTAAAATCTTTACCATATAAATGAAGCCGCTACTATCGCAGAAAAACAACCTCCGTCCGACGAGCCAGTAGTGCGGGAATGGGCATGACATGATGCCCCCGGCGTTCGGTCCAAAACAGCCATGGCATGTACGTACGTGCCACCCGGCAGCAACGGGTTAAATACCTTTCCACTCCATCTATGATTTTTTTGCATGTCAAAGTATTTTCATATGACCAATAACTTGATATTAAAAAAAGTGACCATGTGCAAAACAAACAAATATGTTTTAACTTTGAAATTAATATAAAAAGTAAAAACTAAATTGGCAAATCAAAGCTCATATGAGTGAAAAAAAGACAAAAAACAAAAAACATGGACCCACACTGTCATTGGATCTTTCATCAAATTTCCCTCTCAAATGCTTTATTTGCTTCAATATGAAAATCACATTTGTTATTAAAACATTTCCATATTTTTCTTTGCCCACCAACTTGTGCCAGGTGTCACACAAATGTGACGCCCGGAAAAATAAACATGGCTGGCTGTCTCACCGGTGTGACGTTAGATCAGAGCTTATGCTCTAATTTTGTCACCCATTGCAGGTGGTGTGCAGGCAGGTTCCAGTGTGCCCGGAAACCAGGATTATCAGCTTCTGAATGGGACTGTCATTAGTGGGTTAATATTGCCATTGCTCTTTATCAATAATTTCTCTTTGATCTTTTTACAGGGCCAAAATATCTTGGTTGGGCATATAGAGGGCAGCAGGTTGTAGAATTGACAGTGCTTAGAAGGGTGGCCAAAAGATTAACATTTCTGACATTGATGCGGATGGTTGATATGGTCTCCTAAGTTTATAATGATGAAGTCTTTGTCAATATAAACATCAAGGGTAAGTACTTTCTATAAAAGCTAATCTTGGTAATATTGGTGCAGGAATTGCAGCACCCTGTACTGTACTGATATTGTGCCACAGTCAATGAGGCAGGCAAGCAGGTCATTTTCATAGTCTGACCAATCCTTGTTGAGGACAAGGCAATCGGTTGGAGAGACAGGAACATTTATGGTGAAGGAATTAAGGGAGGAGAGAAGCTGGGCAGCCATAGGTTTGCCAGTAAGTTCAATTTGGGTAGATAATGCATGAGCTTGTGACAAGGTGTAAATAACTGGAATGGCTGTGGAAGGAAAGTTTGCCTTTTTGTTTATGGAGTAAGGGGCTATATAGGGAATCACACAGATGGGAAGAAGAGGGAGTGATGTTGAGTGAGGAAGTACTGGGGGAGGTGGACAATAAGGATGAAGAGTAGTAATTAGGAAGGAGGGAGCTGAAAATGAAGAATACTGTAGAGGATGAGGAGCCAGACTGGACAATGTTTGGAGAAAGTAAAGAATGTTTTCTGAATGTTTTTTCTATAAAAGCTAATCTTGGCAATATTGGTGCAGGACTTTCAGGAGCCTGTACATTTGGCATCTATTATTGCCATGCGCCAAGGGTTGCCACCACTCTGATTGGCAACATTAGATGCCATGTCATTTGAGGTCCCTCTGCCTACAGACTGGCTATTTATTGTGTTAATGAGTTAATAGATGATGATTTACGTGATTGGTTGATAATTAGGTGACGTCTATAATTAATGACCATATGTAGTTATGATGTAAATAAATAATGATGTATTAGTTGTTGATTTGTTGGTATGAGATTACGTGGATGAGATGTACTTTGACCTGACCGGCTGGGAAGAAGGAGTGACTTTCATTGGAGGATTAGGTAACATGGTGTGACCTGATTGGTTACTGATTTGTAGTCATCTGTATAAAAGATCAGTCAGAGGCTCATTCAAGCAGAACGATCACAGCCATGAGAGGTCAGAGCTCTCGCTCCCTTTCTCGCTCTCACTCTCGCTGTCTCCCCTAGCAGGGGCCACAGCCGTTGACATCGGCACCACCATCACCAGCTGCTGAGGTCTCAAACACAGAGTCGTCAGACGGAGACAAAGTAATAGAAAGTGACGAGTCAGACTATGACTATGTTTCTCTGGACACGACCCTTGACAGTAACAAGCCCTTGGCAACCCATGTCACCAAAATGTGAAGTTGTAATGCCGCGGAGAGTCTGTCCTTCAAATGGAGAATGCGGGAGAACATTCCCCGCAAACACTCCTTCTCTGGCAATCTGGGGCTGAAAGTGACCTTGGGCGAGGGGGCGACGCCTCTTGATATCTTCAAAGTGTTCGTCACTGATGAGATTTTATCTCACATTATGGACGAGACAAACAATTATGTAGAGTTGATGCTCATAACTTTACAGAGTATTGCTATAATCAGATAGAAACATTGACCACTTTATATACATTCACTAATACATTCCATTTGCTTTCTTACAGGTATGCTAACCAGAATAAGTCAGATTGACACCATGGCTGGAAGTGGTTCCACTGCTACCTTGGCCTAGGGATCTTGATGGGGCTCAGTATAAAGGCCAGGCTCTCTTATTACTGGTTGCATGATGCCGGGGTCGCACAGGCGATCTTCCCTGATACTATGTCTTGCGAGAAATTCAAGCAGATCTCTTGCAACCTACATTTTGTAGATAGCGAGGCAGAGCATCTTGAGGATGATCAGCTGTGGAAGCTGTGTACAGTAATAGACATGTTTGGGGACATCTTTAAGAATGTCTTCGTCCGCGGGCAGAACATTTCAATTGATGAGAGTTTGTGGAAGTTCAGAGGTTTTCTTTCCTTTGTCACTTACAACCCCAGCAAGGTTTGGCCTGAAAGTGTACAAGCTTTCTGCGAGTGAGGGCCCGTGTACTGGGTACATGTCCGTATTCCGGATATACACCGGGAAAGACAAAGGTTCCATACCCTAATCACAACGGGCGGTAATGGACCTGATGGAGAGGGGAGGGTATTTTTGGAAGGGGTACACAGTGTACTGCGATAATTGGTACACTTCCCCTATCCTGTTCCATTTTCTCCAATCCTGGAAGACAAGGGCAATTGGCACTGTCTGGCTAAGTTGGCGTGAAAGTCTCCTGAAAGGGAGAGGTGGTCTTCTGGAGCTCGGCAACAGGGATATTGGCACTGGCGTGGATGGACACCAAACAGGTATGTATATTTTACATAGAACTAAATGGTGATGGTACAAATCTCTTATTCTTACTGTAATTGAAAAAAAGCAAAGTCCACAGTTTCAACTCTTACATAAAATTCTTTTACCAAACAGGTGTCCATGCTGAGTACAGTTCACAAATTGCAAATGGCAATGGTGACGAGGAGGTGGGGTCCCGATGTCAACAAGCTGCAATGCGTGGTTAATTATAACATCAGCATGAAAGGGGTTGATCTGGGGGACCAGTTCTCCAGTTCCTACCCCTCTGTTAGAGGGAGCCTCAAGTGGTACAATTTTTTTTTTTTTTTTTTTCATACCTTTTTGACCTCGCCACAGTGAATAGCCGTGCAATATATAAATATCTGGGAAACAGGGCTCCCAGCTTCACTTTAGATTGCGGCTTGGTAATGCTATTCAGTCAATACCGAACAGATGTCAAACCTTACCACACCTGAGGTAGGCCGGCGATTCTTCTACTTCCTGGCTACAGAGGAGAAAGTGACATGTTGTGTGGGAAACACCAGGCCGGTGTTTCCTGTGCTACTGTGCTGGGGTAAGGAAAATGACACGCACAATGTGACTTGAGTGCAAAGTCTCCCTGTGCACCTACAGGTGCTTTGAACAGCATCATTCCCAGAGGAGACTGTAATGTATATAATGGTAAAAAGTAAATGGTGATGGTACAAATCTCTTTCTTGTTCTCCTTATTGCAAATGAAAAAAAGCAAAGTCCACAGTTTCAACTCTCACATCAAATCAAAGCAATTCTTTCTTTCGAAAGATTGGAACACAAGCAGACTACACAATTTGACCTCAAAGAGAAAGTGAAGGTACTTTTGTACTTCAGAAAAACCTTAAATTTATCTTCTTTTGTACTTCAGAAAAAAAAAAAAAAAAAAAAAAAAAAAAAAATTTCCTTTTTTATCTGAGTGCTATACGAAAGAAAGTATTGGCTGAAGTCCAAGTTTCACCCCTGATATAAAAACAAAGCCATTCATTTTTTAAAAAGAATGAAACACAAGCAAACAACACAATTTGAATTCTCATTCGAAAGATTGGAACACAAGCAGACTACACAATTTGACCTCAAAGAGAAAGTGAAGGTACTTTTGTACTTCAGAAAAACCTTAAATTTATCTTCTTTTTCTGAGTGCTGTACGAAAGAAAGTACAGGCTGAATTCTCAGCTTGATTCCTTATGAGCACTGAAAATAGCTTTAAGACTTCTGTTGTGCCTCTTATTTTCATTCATTTGCGACTTTGGTTGAAATGAAAAGAAAAAAAAAGAAAAAAAAAAGTTATGTCTGTACTTTCCATTCTCATAAAAGCAATTTTTTATTTTCTAGTGTCAAATAGTTCATATTATCAGCTAATATGAACACTTTTGAACAGCTTCAGTGTCCATCTTCTATAGAATTAGAAAATATTTCGCAGAATATACGATGAGAAACAGTGCACTATCTCTCATCACTCATATATAAAACATAACAATATACCGATATCTAGGGGTAGATTGCTACAAACTTGGTGCAACAATCTTCGTGCTGCCGGGCGGCACCAGGCAAAATTCCGTCACGAGGTCCCACGCGCCAGGGAAATAATGCGCGACTCAGGGCTTGGTGGCGAGTGGCAAATGTCGGAGCTGTTGGGTTAAGCCATTTTCCAATTTCCATATGTCTTTTGATTAGCTTTATCCAGATAGAAGTAACTTATTTTCCTTGTACAGACTCCATACCATCTCTCTATGTAGTAAATAACTCAGTACAAGAAGAAAAAAAAAAAAAAAAAATATGGAAAATTTGGTTGTGTCATATATATCTCACTTTTTCATAATTTTCAATTTTCCATAATACAAACTGTGCTGCTGGCCACAGTGGCCAGGAATACTGTGCACAGCATGAAAATAGCATCCTCCCTGGAGCTGGCTCTCTTCCAGTCATGTCTTACGCATTGTTTATCGATGGGAATAATGTTAAGCCCCCTTTTAAGTGCTAAATGTGTCAAATCACACTCCAAGAGGATTGTGCCGCTTGTGGTGAGTCTTTTCCGTCACCCTGGCCTTCGCTCATGACGGAATGTTCATGTCACCCAGCCCCCTGACCCAGATTTTCTCGTTGATGAGAAATATTTGACGCTCCTGTTGAATGCTGTACTCACTACAGTAGCAACAGCTTTGGGGAGGTTAAGTGAGGTTGCCATGATGGCAAAAACCTAGACAGTTGTAGCCCTGAAGGAAGGAAGCTGGATGTACCCAATCCAGCCCCTACTTCATCTCAGGGCGAGACTTGCCTCCCTGCCAAAACCATGGTTGAGCTCTAACAGGCAGAGCCAAAGCTGGTTGAAACTGTGAAGTCGGAGCAGAGCCTACTTAGGCAAAGCCAGTAAACTCTGACCAAACAGGCAAAGCATAAAAAGAGAAAAGCCAGTAGTGCGATCAAGGAACACTGACATTGTCATGAGACCTTAACAGAGAACACTGTTTGCTTCTCAAGTTATCATGTCTTTTATGATGACAAGCACAGCTGGTACCAGACACTCTATCACCCTGGTCAGAGCAACAACCCCCTGCTCCGTAATACCCAATCTGCTGAAAGGAGATAGTGTCAAATCTGTTGCGAGGCAAAGCAGCTGCAAGGATGGTACTAAACTGGCTCCAATGGAAACTGGAACCCCCACATGAACACCTCCATGGGTTCACATGGGGTATGAGCACTGCACACACCATATCCATGCTCTTAAGCCATTACCGCCAGTATATTTTGAAGCCTAAAATAAAAGTTTTTGGCTGGCCCAGACTCTGCCTGTACACCGGCCGCGGCCCGCTGCTGAGTCGGAGCACGAGCCCTGAGACAGCACCACACTGGCGGAACGACCAGCATTTTTTTTTTCCGGGTGTCTCATATCTGGGACATCCGTTGTACGTGGGTTAAGCACAACCAACACCAACTTTCTATATTACTTCTTATGGCTGGCAGTGGCACCATAATAAAATCAGCAATGTCAGCACCTCCCCAGCCAGGCTATGAGCTCTATTTTCTAATGTTAAGAATTTGTTGCCATTACTGAAGATGCCTTTGGATTAGCTTGGACCACCTCAATTTTGCTGAATTGTGCTTATTGTTTACAGAAGTTTTGCATTTTGAGGCATGTTACTAACTCTCACTGTTTTTATTGATAGCCTTGTTTCATCCATCACAAATCCAATAACTCAATAATTCAAATATTTAATCTGCAATGTTTTTTTTCCTCTAAAGAGTTAGTCATCTTTGGGCTTTCAAAATGCTTAGACATTATGAGACAAGCTTGTAGTCTTTTGTTATCATGCAATTTATATACTATTTATATGTGTTAACTCACAATATACCTCCATAGAAAAACTGTGAGCAAGTTCTAATAACCACGTTTGGAAGAAACCCTGGTCCATTACTCCCCCTCCCTTCGTTTAAACCATTTATGATAGGCGTCCCACATATGAGACTCCTGGAAAAATAAACATTGCCAGTGTGACGTTGGATTGGAGCTCACGCTCCAAAGTGGCTTAGTGATTTAAGCCATCAGTAGGATGCTCCACATCTGCATTATGTGGTATTTCTCCATTTAAACACATAATGAAAAGAAATATGAACCATACTTATGAAGACAAATGTAGAAAAGGTAGGAATGAAAAGGATATCTTCATGATACAAAAGATGCATTTAACTGGTTTTGAATATACCTTCATCAGAAACGCATGGATTTCTGAAGAAGATATATTTGAAACAGGTTTGCTACATCTCTTGTATTGCAAAGATATTCATTCTTATTCATATCTTTTCTACACAAAAAGAAAGTTAAACAGGAACTAGTTATCAATGGAATAACTTTAAAATGTAATCTTTATACCTATGGCTTTTTTAAATTTTAATTATCAAACCCATTACCAATATAAGCGGCCAACTTAAAATAAAAAAATATAGAATATATGAACAAGAGTAGGTGAAAAGGAAAAGAAAGAAAGATAAAGAAGCAAACATGAAAATAGGAAAAAGATAAATACAATAAATCAACAAGAATACACTCAAACTAAAGTAAACAATAACAAAGTCACCTGTAGAAGAGATGTCTTGTTGCGCTCCCGAGAAATTTTAGATCTTTCGTTCTCCTCTTCCTGCCACTTCTTTCTTTCCATTTCTCTCATCATGTCTGCATCAATTTGCTTATCTATTTCTTCCAGCTCCTTACTCCTGTTGGTAATATTATCAAAATGAAAATCAAGTTCAAGAGACATGATAGAAAAAGACATTTTACATTCTTGTAAATTGTACAAGCTAAACAAGTACAACTGTACAAGCTTTGTGTGAAATACAAGTGACTTTTCCCTTCTAACATACCTACAAGATAACTAATACTTCTATTAACTCTCTATGAAAAACAGCTAACACTATAATACCTCTCAATGAAAAAATAACTAAATACCTAATAACTGTAATTACAACCAGCAAGCTGCTTTTTGATGCTGTATCAAGAATTTTAGTTATCACTGATAATATACTCTCCAGTTACAAAGTAGCATTACACTTAATTATTCTCTAACTACTTTTGAAGGCCTGTGATACAGAGATTGCAAGTCAAATTGGAAAAAAAAGCTAGTGAGCAAGCTATATTCCATAAATCTATTTGCTGATAATTATCTTAACTATTCATCCATTAATTAAAATAATACTGAATCTCAAAAATCTCACTCTGAATTTCATTTATAAAATTTTTGGTATATTCACAGAATATCTATAAATAAGAAACTGAATGATATCGATTTGGTAGTACTACAGAGCACTTTTTCTTTTGAACTGACATGACACATTTTAGAAACATGTATAACATAAATGAAAAATATGTTTGAGTAACTGAACAATCTTTTGCTGCCCATGCATGCATGGAATGATCAGATTTTTTAAACATAAAAAAAGTAAGTCTGTGCAAAAGAAATTTTAAAAATGTAATTAACCATACTTCTTTGTATAATTTCTCCTGATTTCGTCTTTATTCATACGTTCATAGTTCTCAATTTTCTTCTCCATTTCTAGGCGGTTAATGTCATTTGTGATGTTAAAGACAATCTCTTCTATTTCTTCTAGATAAAGGTTCCACTCGTCTGCTGTTTCAAAGTCCTCCTCTGATTTATTGTAAATTCTCATAACCTGTAATAAATAAGTCATTAAGACACACTGAATATTGATAAAAACAGAATAAAAGAATAATTTCCAAGTTCTACATACGTTGCTAAAGAAACTGTATAACATACCTTTCTTCTAATATCTATTTCCTTTTCTACAAGTGGATCTTCAAACATCTGCACCCGAAACTTTGCACGTTTAAGTACAATGTTGCACTCATAACACTGTGCTGACTCTGTACAAAATGATATTAACATGATTAGAGAAGCAATAGAGGAAAATAATAATCAAACAGTGATATCATGTATTCCTCCCACAAAACAGTATTTTTTATCTATTTTGAGAATCTGGAGACATAACTATAGTTTAAACAGTAGAAAGAAAATATATTCTACACTATGCCCTTCCCATATATGGCATTGCACCATAACCATTCTTATGTATGATAATGGTGTTAAAAAATATGTAATACTACTCTATTCCTCAGCCATAGCCACCCCAAAGATGCCTGAAAATTACAGAATTCTCCTAAAATACAAACAAACTGCTATAAAGGAATTAAAGAAACTGAAATTTATCTTTGTATAATTTCTTTACAACTTACATCCTCCCAAAATATTTTTCTTAATAACAAGAATATGTGACAGACTAAGCTTACATTGTCAATGTTGATTTCTAAGACTCAGACAGTGTAACTTTATCTTCTGCTATTCTGTTAAAAATTATTCTACAGCTTTATACTTTGCTATTAAAAGCATTGTCAATGTTGATTTCTAAGACTCAGACAGTGTAACTTTATCTTCTGCTATTCTGTTAAAAATTATTCTACTGCATTTCTGTTTATTTCATTATCTAAAGGCTTGCATGCAAGTAAAATGGTATAGGTCATACTCTGACCTAAAAGGTGAAATCAACATCATGCCTTAAGCCTTAGCCTGCAGATGACGTGGGGTTTGCACTGGCCACATCTGTAAAAGGCCATGAAAGCACATGCAGTTGGCTGCACATACTCTCCAGAGTGGATGCCTAACGATCCCCAAATTCTCTACGCAGCAGTAAGAAACTATTCTTTCAAGTTTTAAAAATATTCATACATCATGTACTTCCAATATTACTTAGTATAACATGATTATATTATGATGTACACTAAAGCAAAGCCTATTCATTCAATTAATAGTTCCACTTAAAATAACATATGCCTAAGAATATCTTTTTCTAGAGTAATCTGAAACAACACAAGAGATTAGAGTAAAAAATAAAAATGACAATAATGGAAAGTACATACACTTTCTTATTTTTTAAAGAATAATGACTATCCATTATCCATCTACATCCACTATCTTTAATCCACTGGCACTGTTTTATGAATTTTGTCCAAAGGTAGATGGTATCTATGTATAAACAAAATAAATGAAACAAAACCAAAACAGATTACCATTAACAGAATAAAGAAAAGATTAAATTTCTTCACATATACTTTACCTTTAATAAAGTTCATTCTGACACATGCATCACACTGTGGATGCCCACAAACATTGACCATGAGCTTCATCTGTGGATTACGATATTTTGTGCCCTTACATACAGGGCACTGGACCTCATAGGAGGAGTCGTAATAGTCCCCCATCCTGATATCTGAAAATGGGAGAAAATTAAAGTGATAGATTTCATACCTCTGCACTGTCCATTATAAATAAATTGCTTAATTTGTTGATAATCAAGATAAAAGTTTAAGTAACAATAATATAATATCTACATTTTACAGATGCTAAACAAGGTTCTGGTCTAGCTACTGCCAAACTTTTCCCTTAGAATGCTTTCTATAATTATCAGACATAATAAATTTGGTATGTACATTCATGTGGGAAGGTAATTTTGAGTATTTGTGTGTTTAATATGTGTTTATGAAATGTGGGTAAATTGCATAGGATGGTTATATATATTTGTGTCTACATATACATACATATATATATATATATATATATATATATATATATATATATATATATATATATATATATATATATATATGGCTACACCACCTAGTGTACATCCATTGGGGAACACCAATCATTGACAATCATGCTGTCTAGTGCACAGAAATCTTACACTACAGGTAACCAAATACTAGCATCAGTAATTTTACAGAATACCTTGACATAACTGATCACGATGATTTTGGTATTAATGGATTCCTCTCACTCTTTACTAAATATATAAAATTATGCCGTGGAACTCCCGATTAGCAATAATCTGGGCCCTGATAGCAGGGGAGGGCATGAAAGGTACCAGGGAAATTGTGGGGTAAACTATGAATAACATAAAAAGAATCAGTTACTATGTTGTCTAATGTAGGGGGCTGTCCCCTGCAACCCCCTTTGCAATAAAAGACAAAGAAATATCATCGTAGTCACGGCAGCATGAAGTGTACAATTGACATGCAGGAGCACCTGATGTCAAGTCTGGCCAGTGCTCTCTCCTGCCATAAATATGTGAAGCACAGGCCTCTGCATACGATACTATAGGATTGATTCAGCGTATATTATTCATAAGTTATCCGTCAATTTTCCTGGTACTTTTCAAGCCCTCCCCTGTTATCGGGGCCAAGTGGGGGTTTCACTGTATTATTCATATATACATGTGTGTGTACTAGAGGGTGAGAGGCATCCACAGATGGCAAAATCTTTGTGATTAATTGTTTGGAGATATTACGTAAATAATTACCCTAGTATCAACTTGTTTGGGTCATGGTCTAGTTGGAAAGGAACTGTCTATCCTACCCCATAATCCAGTGATTTACTATGCCTATTCCTTTACTAGTTGGATATGGGACTAACTTTGACTAAAGAAATGTCTTTGAAGTATTATTGTCCAAGGATTTTGTACAATGATATCTATATTTCTTCTAAACAATTGTGTGTGTACTTCATGATATATAATCTATATTCATTTCTTTTTCTTTTATAAACCATCTGGTTTAACATCTTCCAACTGCGTATCTGCTTTCAACCTTGCCTGTACCGAATTGACCAAATATTAATCATTCAAGCATTTTGTACAACAGTGTTATGCATTTCTCTCTTAAATAACTAATTTAACATGTTTTACAATTTTCAGAAATATAAAACGTCAAAGAAAACCAAGGCCGGTACTATGCCCTATTTTCCTTTTCGAGACAAATGTGTTTCACTAAACTACCAAAATTGTCGTATCACTCCTATGATGATGATTAATAAGGGAAATACGTGAATACTAACAGTATTAAAGAAGAAATATCACAAGTGGAATGGCACGTTTGGTGTTTCGTCTCAGAGGTTTTGTTTTGAGAGCAAGAAGTAAGGGATACGAACTCAATTTAATATATACGGGTTTGCTGCATTCACTGGCTTGTGTAAAATTTTGCATGCTCAGAAATCAAGATATATATTAATAGGTGATATGAAATAATATTATATGTTAGAATTAGTTTGAAAAGTAAAGTATATGGAATACGAGCTCAAATATATATTAGTCATACATATACACGTATTTCTTTGATTTGAGT